GAAGATAGTGCTGGTAAAGACTCCAGAAAGCTTACTGCGCGCGCAAGATCTGCATCCTCCATTGCGGTGCCAAATTCGATAAGTCCACTATCAAGAGGATAGGCAGAGTTACCGAGACCTTCGTTCACTAAAACCTGATAAAAAACGCTCCTTTATAGCTCTGAAAATCTTAGGGAAAAAGGTTTAGTACTAATTACCTCCGTTTTTCCATTGCTTTTTTCAACACCTATAACATCTCCTCCTTTAAGAGGAACAGTCACAGGCTTGTCCGTTGCTTCCACATTATACCATACGCACAGGTTTTTTCTTGCTTGTGCAATAACTACATCACTCTGGGGCACCCATTGTACGAAAGAACAGTAAGTAAGCATAGGAAAGCTCGTACAACTTTCGACATCATATATAAATAGATGCATTAAACGATCCCTGTAGAGCAGTTTTCGTCCGTTCTCATTGAGTTCTATCCAATCAATTTTCTGATCATGGCCTACCTGCCCTATATTGCAGCCACTGACCAAGTCATGTATTGATATGGTTTTAAAGTCTATCAAAAAGGCAATCCTTTTGTTTATTTGCTGCCTATTGTCCTTTCTTCGATCGCTCAATCGCACACTAATATGATTAGCTCCCATGAATTCAGTACGAACCGATCCAGTAATTTCATTTATACCGAATTCGATTAGAAAGAGTTCTCCGCAGCTAAATACCAAGCAAAAGTTTTCACTTCCAAAATAATATTTTTCTTTTTTTCCCTTATTTTGCCAAGGAACTTCACTGAATAGCTTCTTTTGAAAGTCTCCTATGATAAGAGTATCAGAAGTATGTGCGACAAGATATCTATCATTCCCTATTATTTTCAATCCATCTATTTCTGCCCCGTAGTTAGATTTGATTATTACTTTATCTTTGGTCTTCATATTATTGACAATAACTTGGCTAGGTCCGACGTAATTTAATTCAAACATATTTTTGTATAATCTGCGTTTAGTACAGCAATCAAATTGTTCGATAGCCCCACAAAGGGTGCCAGCCGTTAATTTTGAACCATCACGCCTCCATGCAAGAGCTGTAATAGTATAAAGGTTTTTTATTTCCTTTGGATTTCCTTCATCCCAGCATCCTTTGCGTGGACTCCATGTAAATATACGAATTCTGTCGTAACTGCCTATGGCTACAGACGAGCCCCCCGGGCCACATGCAGCAACCGTAAAAGCTTTCTCAACTTCATTCCTGCTGTAATCAAATTGTTGTATAACGCTGCCATCTCTACCATATACATAAATGCGTTTGTCACAACCAGCGGCAATAACTGTGCTGCCAGCCCAGCAAAGTGCATATGGAGCTGTTGGATGGGTTGCGAATTTCCCCTGAAAATCGCCGGAATCCTCATCGTCAAAAAAATATCTTATAATTTTCCCATCCGCATGGCCTGAAATAAATCCTTTTTCTGACATATTAGTGGCCAGAGAGACCGTGCAAGACTCCGTGTTATATATCGTTGATGACTTATTGGTTTTAGTGTTGGCTGCTCTGACTTTACCATCAACCAGACCACACACAATTGGCTGATCCATAGGCCATATGACGCATGTTACTGCACTTTGTTGGGGAAACTTATTACAAATTATTTTTTTATCATCCCAATTCTCACCGAATTTGTACACAAATATTATATTATCGGATTGAGCAACTGCTAGTTTTGAAGAATCCGCAGAAAAAACAATGCTTTTGACTACATAGTTTCTTTTACCAGTCTTTGAGTCCGCAGCTTTAGTTGCAAACCGTTCACGTCGATCACCATTTTCATCAAATACTAATATAACTTTCTCGGAAGTGCATACTGCCAGCTTCTTATTATTTGGAGACCAAGCTAGACATAGTATTCTGAATTCATAATTTTGGGGAGGGAGAAGAGTTTTAATATGTTTAAGCTTCATCTAAAAGTAAAAATGCCAGATCCAGTTTCATATATTTTTTCATGCATGCGCCTAAACATTTGTTGTTATGGTCACTTACAAAAGTACAAAAAA